TGGGAGATGTAAAAAAAAATGGGTATGAGTTACAAATTCCTGGAGAGATATAAACACAAGTCAAATGTGTCAAATGACTGAGATACTTGAATGATGAGGGGGGAAAAGAAAGGAGTCTGGGCATCTAATCACAATATGCATTAGAGGAAATGTTAATATTTGGATTGGCAAACTGTCAAAAATAAGATGCCTGGGATTGAATAGAAAGGTTTACATGACTGGAGTCATTGTTAGGCACCTAGTACTAACTTGGGAGAATTATTAGTGAAGAGTTCTGTGCAAACTGTAACACCTGCATGGATATTTTGAACAAGATTTTTGTTCTGTTTGTTTTCTTATCAGAAAACAACTAACACAAGTAACCTCTTTCAAGATTAATTACTTTTTATGGGAAGACCTTTGCACTCTGATTGAGCATATCTCTTCTGATGAAATGCTCTTCTTGATGTTGTATGTGGAATGAACCTGCTGGTGGCTGTCTTCCTTTAATTAGGAAACTTAATAAGCCAACGTTGTGTCTAAGCCACACACACACAAAGAGGTATTCTTTTAAAAAACACAACTAATTCGCAGTCATTCAGAATGCTATTATAAATAACACAGCTCATCCTTAAACAAATTATGAAAAAGTGTCTCAGGGAAGTCTTCAGAGAGAGACTAATATACATGTTTTAGGCTAGACATTCTTAATTCTGGCTATGCTTAATATTTATCTGGGAAATAGTTAAAAGTATGGATCCTGATCTCTATCCTTAGATCAATTAAAACTGACTTTCTGGAGGTGGGCTCCAGGAAGTTTTAGAAGCTCTAGGTGACCTGAGAATGCCTGATGTAGGTAATGCAGCCAGGCCACCAATGTGTGCACTACTGAAAATTCAGGGCTCAACTTCCACGGATTACAAATAAATTCAGTCTGAGGTTATAAAATACTTGTTGGGGCAGACACAAGTGTTGGGGTATCATCTTTGATAAAACTCCAACTCCATTTTATTTCTATTCAATTTATGAAAAGGAAAGGCGCTTGTTTCAAGGCATTGCTCGTAGGCAAGTCCAACAAGTATGAATCTGAATATAAATCTCATTCAAATGAAGCAAACTTGCATTGTAAAAGGCAAAAGAGTGTATCGAGTATAATTGTCTCTGTCATAGAAAAAATAAATAAAAATTATACTGTCTACTAATGGAGGATCAGAATACAATCTTTCAGTACCAATGCTATTCCAAATATTATCAACCAGTTCCAAATTTCAGTTTTGGAAACTATGCATAGAATTGTGTGCTATTTTGACTGAAATATGAGAATTTTTTTCAACTTATAAAAAGTTTTGATGTCAATATTTTTCTTTACATATTCTTATTATATAACATTTGTATGTATCTTGCTTAGAGAAAAAAGAAAATACAGATAGCAAGAAGATATATAGCAACCCCAAATAACCTCATGCAGAGATGATATTCAGTATCAGCTAGCATAATGGTATACTTCTTTCTAGCTCTTTTGCAATACATTTTTAACTAAAATAAGAGGCACTCTGCATTTACATTTGGAGAAGGAAATGGCAACCCACTCCAGTACTCTTGCCTGGAAAATCCCCTGGATGGAGGAGCCTGGTAGGCTACAGTCCATGGGGTCACAGAGAGTCGGACACGACTAAGCGACTTCACTTTCACTTTTCACTTTCATGCACTGGAGAAGGAAATGGCAANGGAAGATCCCCTGGAGAGGGAAAGGGCAACCCACTCCAGTATTCTCGCCTGGAAAATCCCATGGATGGAGGAGCCTGGGAGGCTACAGTCCATGGGGTCGCAAAGAGTGGGACACGACTGAGCAACTTCACTTTCACTTTCACTTCTGTGCTATACAGTGAGACCTTGTTGCTTATCTATCCTAAACGTCATAGTTTGTATCTACTAACCACAAACTCCCAGCCCGTTCCTACCCATTCCCCTCCCCCTTCGTAAACACAAGTCTGTTCTCTAGGTCTGTGAGTCTGTTTCTATTTCACAGATAGGTTCATCTCTGCCTTATATTAGATTCCACAGATAAGTGATATCATATGGTATCTCTTCTCTTTCTGACTTGACTTCACTTAATATCATAATTCTAATAGCATCTATGTTGCTGCAAATGACATTAATTTGTTCTTTTTTATGGCTGAGCTGTGTTTCACTGTATATATGTACAATCTTCTTTATCTATTCATCTGTCAATGGACATTTAAGTTGTTTCCATGTCTTGGCTATTATGAATAGTGCTGCTATGAGTGTAGAGGTGCATGTATCTTTTTGAATTATAGTTAATGGCTACCCACTCCAGTATTCTTGCCTGCAGAATTTCATGCACAGAGATGCCTGGTGGGTTACAGTCCATGGGATCACAGAGTCAGACATGACTGAGAGACTAACTCTTTCTCTTTGTCCTGATACATGCCCAGGAGTGGGATTGCTGGATCAGATGGTAATTCTATTTTTAGTTTTCGGAGGAACCTCCATACTGTTTTCCATAGTGACTGTACCAACTTACATTCCTGCCAACAGTGTAGGAGGCTTCCCTTTTTTTCCCATACAGTCTCCAGTATTTGTAGAGTTTTGCATGATGGCCATTATGACTGGTGTGAAGGTAGTATAATTTGCTTCTGTTTTTAAATTTGATAATGACTATAAGGAAAAGCTGTGAGAAAAAGTGTTTTTAATTTCTAATATTATTTTTCTTGGGATGAATTTTTAGATGTAAAATTGGCTACTGAGTCTCTACAGTAAGTATTCCACAGATTTCCCTCTCTGTTCTATATGACAAAATATCTCATCAAAGAGTCATTTATCATTAACTTGTTAATAGTGTAAAGAAGCAGAGTTCAAGGTGGCTGAATGAGCTTTCAGGTATCTTTGTTGTCCCCTCCTCTGGAGACTTCAGATAACTATTAAAAAGTAAAAATCTACCAGAGTGTTCTAGAAGCAAAATTCTGATGGAAGTGTTAACTAAAGGAGCAGCTTAGCCTAGAATATGTTCATAGGTAAGAAGAGAGAGTGACTCTCCTTAGACAAATCCTGGAGATGTCTGGACTCAAAGATGGCAGATAAACAGAGGGAAAGAATGTAAACTGAGGGTGAAAACATGATGAGAACCGAAACAGGCAATAGAAAACAAAACAATAGAACAGGCAAACAGAAACCGTTTCTCTACAGAAATTCACAGCATAGGAGAGTAATGTGGGCATTGGTACTTTAGAGTACAGTCCTCAATCTGACATGGGTGGATCATCTAAGTAACAGTTCCTTAACCATTCACTGTAACATAGATGCTTTGTGTTTCTAAGACTTGTCTTTGTATCCAGCTTTAAGTCAGTCTTTCCTAAACATAAACAGAGGACCAAAAATCACTAGAAATGTGAGAAAATTCTACAGCTAAAAATGATCCCTGGGAAAACAGACTAAAATTTACAACACAAAGGAAAACTTAGGACAATAGCCAAGTGTTGTTAGAGAGATCAGAGATGCTGTATTCATGAACTATAATAGGATACTCTGAAAAAGTTACATTCTGAAAACAAAAGCAGTCTTGGAAACTAAGTATACATACACTATTGCATCCCCCACCCTGCCCCCCACACATAAATGAAAAGAGATTTTGAGGAAAAGTTCCAGGAATCTTCCTGAACTGAGGCAGAAATCAAAACCATGAGATGAGAGAAAATGTCAGGCTTTTAACTGGATTTCCCAAAAGAGAAAAAGAAGGAAAACCAAAGTGCATAAACTGTAGAAAAAGTAGCACAGATGTGGAAAGGAGGCATAAGACAAATATAAAGGACAAACGATCTCTAGAGTGGGAGGAACTAAAACACATACACAGATATATAAACATAATGTTGTATAATTTTATAACAAAAAAAGTAAATATGATAGAAAGGTACACAGAGAAGAAAAATCAATTACAAAGGAATTTCTAACAGTAATAACAGATGTTAGATGACATTGAATTAATCACCAGATTTCATAGGAAATTATTTTTAATGCAGAATTTTATAAACAAGGAAATATCAATCAAATGTAAGAACCAACAGAAGTCATCTCAGATATAGAATAACTTAAAAAGATTGCATCTCACATCAATATTCACAGATAGTTCTTTAAGGATATATTCTGAAAAAAAATGAGAATGAAAATTAAGAAAGAAGAATATGTGGGGAAATCAGAAAATGGAATTAATGTAGTAATTCAATGAAAGTCAATGGACACCACTTAAGAATTTCTTAAGGAAGAATGAGATAAAGGATATAAAAACAAAAAGGTGAAATATAATGGAAGTATTTAGAAAAAGGAATATTTTTCTTTGCCTGAGAAAAAATTTAGATTATCTAAGAAAATAAAACTAACAAAAGTTTGTGATATGATATAAGCAACAAAATAAACATAATGTGACATGACTGAGTATTTGATAGAGGGTGGGAAAGGAGAGTTTATTTGACCTTGACTCTAAAAGTATTCAAGAGTAGCACAGAGGCCATAACTTGGGATTGTAGGCAAAGAAGTGATATTGCATTTTTTTTTTTAAAAAAAATACTATTTAAAGTTACAAATTTAATCTGAAGAGATTTAAAATTTTAAATGGCAATGTAACTGAAAAGAATGAAAGGCTACACAAAAGGACTAAACCTTCATCTAGCACAAGATATCAACAGATAATATTGAAATATGATAAATCTATACATAGTAGTATAAATGTATTTATTCATAGAGAAATGAAGGAAATTTCCAGAAGACTAACAGCAGAATTTTTTCCTTTTTCAGTTATAGGGTTGTTGTTCATTTAAAATTTTCTGTGTTTGATTTTCAAACTGTACATGATATACCTTAACTTTACTTTAACCTTTTATTCTCATCCATCGAATGTTAAAGACTAAACATGAAATTTTTTCTTAAAAAAATAATGTTTTAAATTTGAAGATAGTTTACTTTTGGAGTGGGGGAAAGGAGGAAGAAAATATCAAAAATCAACTCACCCAAGCAAAAATCACTGAGGTCGGTGAAAGAACATTTGAGCACAGAATCTTTTCTCTCTTCCTCAGTGTTAACTGGAACAACAGCAAAAAGACTTTGTAGTTTGGGGGACTAAACACATAACAATGATTAGAAAAATGACCGTGGTAACTAATGACTGCCAAACATGAAGAAATGTTTTTAAGTTAATGAGTTGAAATGAGAAAGACATCTATCTTACATTTTAGCACTTTGATTCTCTTGAACAATTAGCCACTTTCCTTGTTGACTATGGATGTAAGCTGACTATTTAAAATAGGCAGTACTTTCCCAATACTATTGAAAAGAGAATATCAGAATTTTCCATTTATCTAGAGGAGGAAGCAAGCTTCAGGAATCATAAGGAAATGAGTTTTCATAACATAAAAACTTTTAGAGATGGATGGGGAAAAAAAAAGCCCATCCATCCACTGATGGGTCTGGTTGTATTTTGACTCCTAACTCTTTTGAAAAGGAGTTGTCTAAAGACATAATGGCATCTCAAACAGGTAGTTGTGTGTAGTTTTGGTTGCCAACACTTGTCCAGTCACATCTTCATGCATTCAAATCTTTACTGCTTTACAGTCAGTATTATTTAAAGTTTTGGGTCTTTTGTTTTAAGGAAACCAAGTTTATTATTGCTGGCATATTTAATTACTGGTTATAAATTCTCACTTAGGAATGCTAATGAGCCAGTGATTTGGGGGGCTGGTCTGGCTCCCATCAACAGAAAGTAGGTCCATATCTGCATGGTATCGGCTACTTTTAGGGACATAAAGGGATGAACACACAATCTGGCCAAGGAATGGCCTTTAGTCTGATTGGCAGGGGCAACTGTTCTCCTTCCTACACCAGTCTCCTTTCTAAAGACTATAAATACTAAGTGGAAGAAAGGAAGAGAGGGCAAGAGGGAGAGAGAGAGAGAGGGTTGGAAAACACTTCTCTTTATCAGTTAAACAAGAAAGTAGAGCTCACCTTGCTCTGCTTTGTCAGCAGAGATTGAGGTTACAGAAGTGGGGTCCTGAGATTCACTCTCAATTGACTGGAAGAGCGAGGTAGACTGGCTCAGGCTCTTTGAGTAAGCATAGCTCTGGGCCAGGCAAGGCAAGGATCTCCGAGACGGTTTTAATGAAGTTTCTTTTGCTATCTCACTCTTGCTTATATTCATACCTGCAAATTCAAAATGGCAAGTTTTAATAATAAGAAATTATCAGCAGAAATCAACAAATAATTTTAATTCTCATGATGGCTGTTTCAGGAAAATACTATTGAAAAGTACCACCTGGGGATTAGAACTAAGTGAATTAGTTTTGTTTCTATATTTGCAGGCGAAGTATTTTGAGATTTTTGTCAAACAGTTATGAGAAATAAACAGCTCCTCTTCCAGTTTTGAGCTTTCACTATTTGTTAAAGGGCATGCAAAAAAGAAACTGAGGTTTAAGTTCATTTGGGGAGTTATGAGGACAACAATTTGGACTGTCTTTGGATAAATCTGTTCCGGTTTTAAAGAAGGGAAATAAAACCTAATGAACTGACATTCAAATTAGTATTATTAACTGGAGCCCTTCTTTTTATACCTTATCCTCCTTTCAACACAAGCATAACACACTAATCGGTGATCAAGAGGTTGCAAAGAGGTAGCATACAATGTTTAGTACAAAAATTGGTCAATAGGCAGGGATCAAGGGACAATATTCCTGCACTCCATGTAACAGCCCCTCCCCTCACAGAGGACTGATATGCCAGAAGAAACAATGTCCCTAGATAGGACTCTGCCTCCATAACTGGATGTCCCTGTAACTGTATGCTCCCAGCAATGAATGACCCCATGCCCCTGCACACCCCTGTCCCCATCATTCCTCACTTCCTCACGTTAATCCCAGGGCATTCCTCAGCCCTGGAATACTGCTGTGAGTATCCTGGCATATGCCTTTTTTTGCACATATTGAGTATTTCTCTAAGAGGAAACACTTAGATGTACAATTGCTGGTTTGAAGAACATGAATATTTACCATTTGGATAGATAATGCCAAACTGATCTCCCTGAAAGCTTTATCTTTTCACACTTCCACAAATAGTACAAGATGGAATCCATTTCCTTATGAAATTTCCTGGCCAACTCTAGACAACTCTAAACAACTCCATTGTTTTAATTCTGAATAAAATAAAAAGCCAACAAATAGAAAACTAAAAAATTGTTTTATTCTTTGTGTAACAGATTCAACATGTTTTCATATATTTCACAGCCAATTATAACTCTTTAATGACAAAGTGATTTTATGGTTTTTCTAATGTGCTGTTAGGTTTTTTCTTGTTATAGGTACTTAGTGTATGTGTGTACACATATTACAGATAGATAGATATATAGATAAATTGTTCAGTCGCTAAGTCATGTCTGACTCTTTGTGACCCCATGAAATGCTGCACACCAGCCTTCTCCATCCTTCACTATCTCCCTGAGTTTGCTCAAACTCATGTCCATTGAGTCAGTGATGCCTTTCAACCATCTTATCCTCTGTTGCCCCCTTCTCCTCTTGTCCTCAATTTTCCCCAGCATCAGGGTCTTTTCCAATGAGTCAGCTCTTCGCATCAGGTAGCCAAAGTATTGGAGCTTCAGCCTCAGCATCAGTCCTTCCAATGAATATTCAGGGTTGATTTCCTTTAGGATTGACTGGTTTGATCTCCTTGCTGTCCAAGGGACTCTCAAGAGTCTTTTCCAGTATGACAGTAATTATAACATTTATTATAAGACAAACAAGTTAACTAAACTCCACCTACCTGTTTTGGTCAATACTTTTTAGCTATTTTATAATCAGCTCATGAATTAACTCCAGATTTCTAAGAACTTTTTAAATGCATGAATTCAAATAAAGACAAGCGGAGGTACCAATGTGCACTGCCCTTTGAGAAAAATGAGAATCTTGGGGGAAAAAAGACAATTTTTGAAAGCGGTTCTACAGAAATAAGACATGATTGAATAGATGAAATGCAGATAAACCTAGTAGTAGGGATTTTATCTTCCTGTTTTATTAAAAAATGTATTTAATTCATTTCAAATAATTATCAGGGTGCAAATAAAGTGTGAACTAGAAAGGGATGCAAGAAAGAATTATAAACTGACCCAGTCTCTGGCAACTAACACTTTCACTTTCTTTCACTTAGCTTTCTGGGACTCCATAATGGTAAGAAATGAAAATACCCTTTTGAAGAGGGATTCCCTAAGGCCTACAAAACTCATATTGAAATCCTACTCAAATATCATACAGTCTCCCTTAGTTAAGGACTGACTAGAGTTTTCAATACTACATCCAAGGAACTGCACAGGAAAAATCTGTCCTAGTAAGGTTTTATGCCTGTGAATCTTTTGTAATATGGTCTAATATTTTATTTCATTTAGAAAACACTGACATTTAATACTAAATGATCTGTTTTTGTTACTGGGCTCTGGCTGAAAACTGTCTTTTACCATAGAAGAACATATAAGTAAATGAATAAATATTCTTTGGAGCAGGGGTAGTACACAGATGGAAGATGGTGATAGTTGCTAGTAAAGATATTAGAAACAGAGAGAAATGCCTTGGTCCTCTGAGAATGGCCTTGATGGGGACTCTACAATAATATTAGTCACCTTAATCTACTGAACCCAGAATGTATGTTCAAAAACTGTTGAGCTAAAGATGACAATCACACTGGTGCCTGCGTGCACGTACATGCTAAGTCACTTCAGTCTGTCCGCCTCTTTGCAACCCTACGGACTGTAGCCTGTCAGGCTCCTCTGTCCATGGGGATTATCCAGGCAAGAATACTGGAGTGGGTTGCCACTTCCTCCTCCAGGGAAATCGTCCTGATCCAGGGATTGAACCAGCATCTCTTAAGTCTCCTGCATTTGCAGCCAGGTTCTTTATCACTAGCAACACCTGGGAAGGCCACCACACATGTAGATATTGTTATTTTGTAAACCAGTATAGGGTGAGACTACTGCTCATCAATGCTATCAGTATTTTCCATCATTTGATTCATCTCTGTATTCACCTAGTCACGGAAAAGACTTTACTTGGGTTTTTGCTCTCTGCAGGCTCCATGTTGATATTAGGTTTACAGTGGTGAATAAGGTTGACATGTAATTTCTGCCCTCATGGGACTTTCACTCAAGTAGAATGTCAGACATTAATCAAACAATATGTATCAGTTCAGTTCACTCACTCAGTCATGTCTGACTCTCTGCGACCCCATGAATCCCAGCACGCCAGGCCTCCCTGTCCATCACCAACTCCCGGAGTTTACTCAAACTCATGTCCATCGAGTCGGTGATGCCATCCAGCCATCTCATCCTCTGTCGTCCCCTTCTCCTCCTGTCCCCAATTCCTGCCAGCACCAGGGTCTTTTCCAATGATTCAACTCTTTGCATGAGGTGGCCAAAGTATTGGAG